AAGTTAAGCTTTCTCTATAGAGCTGGAGGCTTCAGGGTGCAGATTACAGCAGCAGGTGATGAGTGGCTCCAGCCTCTGCTGTGTAGGCTGGGCAAAATCCAGTTAAACCAGAGAAGTGCTTTAACTCCAGCTCCCCATGCCCGACATGACTGAGCTGAAGTCAGCGGGATGGCAGGAATGCCCCGGAAGGGCTGAGCGTGGGCTCTGAGCCCGTCCTCTTCCCCAGTGCCAGCCGGGAGCTGCTCCCACACCTCGCACCGTGGCAGAGATGAGGAATGATGAGCAAATCCAGCAGGATAAAAGTGCAGTGGGAAGCAGTGCATGCTAAGGAGTGACATGGAGAGCAGCCACAACGCAGGAGGGGAAGTATTGGGGCAAGCTCAAGGAAAGGGCAGGAGCTTTATTTATGGCCTTAAATAATCTATTAAGTGCCCATCCCCTAAGCTGCTGGTGCCGAGGACCAAGGCAGAACCAAGGAGGGCTCACAAGCGGGGCAGAGGGAACCTTGGTTTGAAGCCCTCCTTCACATCCAGGCTCCTCAGCATCCCCCTAGCTCCGGTCCCCACAGGCTTGTCCTTCACCAGGGACTGGAGACAAGTTTCCAGCTCTTTCCTCCCCCATCTGCCCCTGCATTCGTTGGAATGCAGGCCTGGACTCGGGCAATCAGTATGTAATCTTGTCAGCATTACTTAGAGAAGCAGGCTCTGTCCTGCCCATCTGATGCTCTGTGCAGCAGAGGGAAAATCACGGCTCCCTCTTGAAAAGAGGGGAGAAATTAAGGTTGACTTTGGCACAGGAAAACAAGCAATCCAGAGATGACAGGGTGCCACAGGAGCTTAAAGTGAGCATCAACCAACTCAAACAAAAACAAATCTGCATTGAAAACAGGCTCTTCCCCAGACCACATCCCCACTTTAAAGTGCTTTGAATTCTCCCCAGCACATTTAGAACATGCTCTCCCTTCACAGCTCTCACTCGCTTTGTTTTGCCGGTTGCGAGCAGGCAAGCGAGGGCTGAAGCTTCAAGTGATGTTTTCCTATTAGCACACATGCAAATGTTAATAAACAGCTCTGCAGGCCGCGTCCTCTGCCCGGCACCCCTCTGCAGGCAGCGAGCAGGGGAAGGACAAAGGGGCACTACAAACCCTCTGCCGCCTTGGTTTTCCATCAGCAAAGCCCAGCTTTGCCCCTCACGGGAGCCGAAAGCCGGCAGAGATGCCATCGGGGCAGCCGTGGCCTGGGGGCACTGCCCACACGGTGCCAGGGAGGCTGAGGGCTTCTCCTTTTCTCGCTGCCGGCTTTGGGGCAGGGTATGGATTGTTTGATATGGGATTTCAAATGATCGCTTAAGTAGCTCATTAGCTCGTAGCAACTTGGAGCAACCCGGCTGTAGTGGGTGTTTAAGTGTTTAATGCCTTTCTTTCCCCCCTCTCTCTTTCTTTCTAATTGGCATTTAATTAGAAGAATAAATAAAAAAAGAAAAGCAGCTTTGCCTGGGCTGCTCAGGTTTAAATATTAAACAGTTTCATTCTCCTAGAACAGCAGTGGTGAGGGGGGTGCAGGAGCTGGCAGAGAGGGCCAGGATCCCATGGGAGCAGGGTGGCTGCAGGCAGCACATCCTATGGCCCACAGCAGGGCTGCCTTGGGTCACTTCCACCAGGAGGACAAGCTGGACCCCCTGTGGCAGCTCTTTGCGGCTCTCACCTTGTATCCTCCTTCCCCAGCACATCTTGAAGCAGGGATCAGGACTTGGCAAGGCTCCCCCTTGGCTTCTCACGGCGAAAGCTTCTCCTTGGCCCTGGGGAGCTCAAGGGGGGATGCTCGGGAAGGAAACGTCCATTAGCGAAGCGCTCGATAACCGCTGCTGTGATTGATCGCCTGCCCTAATGCCTGGAGATCTCCCAGGCTCCTGCTGCCCCTCCCGGAGAGAGCGGAGGAGGCCGGATGAAGTTGTAACGGCTTTGGGAGGGCTCTGATGGCTCCAGCGCTGCTCCGATAGGGATGAGGCCACGCGGAGGAGCTCCGGAGCAAAACGCTGGGTTCAAAGCCCTTCTCTCCCACGTGTAATTACACAAGGAGAAGGATGAGCAGGGCTGGGGGCTGCTTCTGCTCCCCCAGCATCTTCCTCTGCATCCCCTGTCCATGGGTGGCCGGGCAGCACCTCCCTTAACATCAGTACATGAAGAGGCTGAAAGTCCCTGTGGCTGTATTAACCACAGCGGGTGACCAAATGCTCTGCAAAGTTATGTCTAAAGGAGCATCCTTATCTGTATGTGGTACCCAGTGATGGGCAGCCTTTGGGAGGATGCAGGGGATGGTAAGGGGGATGTAAAGAAGCATCTTTAAATGGTACCCAGTGATGGGCAGCCCTTGGGAGGATGCAGGGGATGATAAGGGGGATGTAAAGAAGCATCTTTAAGTGGTACCCAGTGATGGGCAGCCCTTGGAGGATGCAGGTTTAAGATGGGAATAGGGGGAGTAAAGGAGCATCTTTATGTGGTACCCAGCGATGGGCAGCTCTTGGAGGATGCAGGTTTAAGATGGGAATAGGGGGAGTAAAGGAGCATCCTTATGTGGTACCCAGCGATGGGCAGCCCTTGGGAGGATGCAGGTGAGCACAAACGTGATGGGGAACACATGAGGGACCATGGTGGGGGGGTTTAGATGGAGAAGACTCAAGGGGACCTATAACCTAAAAGGAGGATGGAGCCAAGAGGGGAATGGGCCAGGCCCCAAGGGATGGGAGAGGAGGAAACAGCCTCAAGCTGCACCATGGGGAGCTTTGGATGGAGCTGAGGAACCCCATCCCCATCCCTTGCAACCATCAGCGCCATGGGTCAGGGGTGGCTTTGGTTGCACCGGATGCCCCTAAACCCCCTTTCCCCCCACCCCAATGCTCGACCCCAGCAGGGAACTCCAGCTCGGCCGCCCTACGCCTGATGGACGGGCCCCATGGCTGCGCCGGGAGGGTCGAGGTGCTCCATGAAGGCCAATGGGGGACGGTGTGCGACGACGGTTGGGACCTGACGGATGCGGCCGTCGTTTGCCACCAGCTGGGCTGCGGCGGCGCCGAAGCGGCCCCGCTCCAGGCCCGCTTCAAGCAAGGCACCGGGCCCATCTGGTTGGATGATGTGGCCTGCACCGGTAGCGAAGTGGAGCTGGCCCAGTGCCACGCCAGGCCCTGGGGGCAGAACAACTGCAACCATGGGGAGGATGCTGGGGTGGTGTGTTCAGGTAGGGGGGGATCGTGGGGGGTGGGGTGGGGTGGGATGGGGTGCATTGGAGTGCATGGGGGGTGATGGTTATGGGGGGTAACCGGGAGAAGGCTCAGGGGACTCCATCTCCAAGCTCTTTCCCAACCCAATTGGACTCCATCCTCAAGCTCTTTCCCATCCCAATTGGACTCCATCCTCAAGCTCTTTCCCATCCCAATTGGACTCCATCCTCAAGCTCTTTCCCATCCCAATTGGACTCCATCCTCAAGCTCTTTCCCATCTCAACTGGACTCCATCTCCAAGCTCTTTCCCAACCCAATTGGACTCCATCCTCAAACTCTTTCCCATCCCAATTGGACTCCATCCTCAAGCTCTTTCCCATCCCAATTGGACTCCATCCTCAAGCTCTTTCCCATCCCAATTGGACTCCATCCTCAAGCTCTTTCCCATCTCAATTGGACTCCATCCTCAAGCTCTTTCCCATCCCAATTGGACTCCATCCTCAAGCTCTTTCCCATCCCAATTGGACTCCATCCTCAAGCTCTTTCCCATCCCAATTGGACTCCATCCTCAAGCTCTTTCCCATCCCAATTGGACTCCATCCTCAAGCTCTTTCCCATCCCAATTGGACTCCATCCTCAAGCTCTTTCCCATCCCAATTGGACTCCATCCTCAAGCTCTTTCCCATCTCAACTGGACTCCATCTCCAAGCTCTTTCCCAACCCAATTGGACTCCATCCTCAAACTCTTTCCCATCCCAATTGGACTCCATCCTCAAGCTCTTTCCCATCTCAACTGGACTCCATCCTCAAGCTCTTTCCCAACCCAATTGGACTCCATCCTCAAGCTCTTCCCATTCCATCACTCCCTGACCCCACACGTCCCCAATCCCATTCCCGGGATGCTCCAACCCTTCCCAAAGCCTCCCTTCCACCCAACCAACCCCATCCACCCCCTTCACCCCCCTTTATATCCATGATCCCCCCATGCCCCCCCCCAGGCTCCGCCCCCAACACCCCCTCTATACGGCTCATGAATGGCCCTCACCGTTGCGCCGGGCGCGTCGAGGTGCTCCACGCCGGCCAATGGGGGACCGTGTGCGACGACGCCTGGGACCTGAGCGACGCCGACGTCGTTTGCCGGCAGCTGGGATGCGGAAGAGCCCGGGAAGCCCCCGGGCGCGCTCGGTTCGGCCAAGGCACCGGGCACATCTGGTTGGATGACGTGGGCTGCACCGGCGCCGAGGAGGCGCTCGCCCAGTGCCAAAGCCACCCCTGGGGACGCGGTAACTGCCACCACGGCGAGGATGCTGGCGTCGTGTGCTCAGGTAGGGAGCAGGCCCTTGGGGGGATTGATGACACCATTGGGTGCTATGGGGTGGGTTGGGAAGGGTCTGGTGTTGCCATGGGGAAGGATGCTTCACCCATGGCTCTGTGCATTGAGCACCAGCAGGGATGGGGCATTCGTGATCCCATTCCAGTGCTCAGCACCCTCACAGGGATGAACTCCCTTAGATCCAAGCTGAACTGCCCCTCTTTAAGCTCAAACCCATCACCTCTTGTCCGACCCCTTCAATCCCTAATGAAGAGGAACCAGATGCTCTTAAGATCCTACCCAACCCAAACCATTCCATGGTTCCATCATGGAACTGGGGTGATGCAATTGACGGGAATGGATGGGGTTTTGGCCAACTTGATCTCGTTGTGAGGTCCCTGCTCATTGCAAAGGGGTTGGAACTGGGTGAGCATTGAATGCCCCTTCCGACCCAAACCATCCCATGGTTAAAACCCTCCCATCCTCCTCCCTATGGCACCCAATGGACCAACCCCAAACCCCATGAGTGAAACCTTCCCATCCTCCTCCCTATGGCACCCAATGGACCAAACCCCCATCCTGGTCTCCATTGCACACCCATGCGCAAGGAGAAGACACCACCATTGTAGGCCACCCAACTCCATCCCTATGGCCACGCTCTACCGGATTGGGGTGCATCCATAACAACCACCCATAACCCACTTTGGGGGGGCTCCTTTACCAACCCAATGGGCACCCAATGGACCAAACCCCCATCCTGGTCTCCATTGCACACCCATGCGCAAGGAGAAGACACCACCATTGTAGGCCACCCAACTCCATCCCTATGGCCACGCTCTACCGGATGTGGTTGCATCCATAACAACCACCCATAACCCGCTTTGGGGGGCTCCTTTACCAACCCAATGGGCACCCCGCACCCCTTTACCCAATGGGAATCCCCTTGGCAGACGCCAACACCACGTCCGCGGCGCGGATCCGCTTGGCCGACGGCCCCAACCGCTGCGCCGGGCGGGTGGAGGTGGAGCACGAGCACCAATGGGGCACCATCTGCGACGATGGCTGGGACCTGGCCGATGCTAAAGTGACCTGCAGGCAGCTGGGCTGCGGCACGGCCCTGGCGGCACCGGGCCACGCTCGCTTCGGCGCCGGCGCTGACCCCATCTGGTTGGATAACGTGGGGTGCGCCGGCACCGAGAGCGCCTTGAGCCAATGCGACCACAGCACTTGGGGGCTCCATAACTGCAACCACAATGAGGACGCCGGGGTCGTGTGCTCAGGTGATCAAGGGGTGTTGCCAAAAGGGGGGTCCGGGTGGGGGCGGGGGGGTGGCAGTGGTGGGAATGGACACGATGGGAATAATGGGAATAATGGGAATGTCTTCCCGTTGTTCTCAATGGGAGGGGTGTGGAGGGAAGGAATGGGGTGCACGGAGGAGCTGGGGCTGCCAACCCAACCCATCCCATGGGTCTGTGATGGTGAAGGCCCCTTCCAACCCAACCCAACCCAACCCTTCCAACCCAATCCAAACCAATCGCTTCCAACCCAACCCAATCCCTTCCAATCCAACCCAACCCATCCCTTCCAACCCAACCCATCCCATCCCTTCCAACCCAACCCATCCCATGAGTGTGTGATGGTGAAGGCCCCTTCCAACCCAACCCAACGCAACCCAACCCATGGGTCTGTGAGCTTGAAGGGCCCTTCCAACCCAACCCATCCCTTCCAACCAATCCTTTCCAACCCAACCCATCCCTTCCAACCCAACCCAACCCAACCCAATCCCTTCCAACCCAACCCATCCCTTCCAACCCAATCAATTCCCATAGTCTGTGAGCTTGAAGGGCCCTTCCAACCCAACCCATCCTTTCCAACCCAACCCAATCCCTTCCAACCCAACCCATCCCTTCCAACCCAACCCATCCCTTCCAACCCAACCCATCCCTTCCAACCCAACCCATCCCTTCCAACCCAACCCATCCCATCCCTTCCAACCCAACCCAACCCATCCCTTCCAACCCAACCCATCCCTTCCAACCCATTCCAACCCAACCCAACCCATCCCTTCCAACCCAACCCATCCCATGAGTCTATGACCTTGAATGCCTCTTCCAACCCAACCCATCCCTTCCAACCCGACCCAACCCAACCCATCCCATCCCTTCCAACCCAACCCATCCCTTCCAACCCATCCCATCCCACTGGATCCAGAAGAGCCCAGGATCTCCCACCGAGGCCCCACCTCCCCCCCGTGCTCCTCTTGCAGGCCCCAACCCCTTGCAGCTGCGGGTGCAGGAGGGCCCCGGGCCCTGCGGGGGGCGCCTGGAGGTGCTCTACAACGGGACCTGGCTCGGGGTGTGCGGCACCGGCTGGAGCCTGCTGGAGGCTGCCGTGGTCTGCAGGCAGCTGGGCTGCGGGGAGGCCCAGGCAGCACCCATGGGTGCCCCCCTGCACCAGGAGCACGGGGGGGCCCTGCTGGAGGGGCTCAGCTGCCGCGGCACCGAGGCGCTGCTCATTGAGTGCCAACAGAGGGGCACGGCGCCGGGGCCGTGCCCATTGGGGCCGGTGGCCACCGTGGCGTGCGCCGAGCCCAAGGGTGAGCATCGGGGCCACCTTTGTGGTGGCTGCAAAGGGAGGAATGGGGGGGGGAAGCGGCAATGGGGACGAGCGGCTCCTGTGCGTCCCAATGGGATGTGTACCCTTTGGCGTCCCCATTGGGAATGGGGTCACATATCCCATCCACACTCATCCGTCCCTTCATGCCCATCCCGGCCTTAGAGCCTAAAGGGGCTCCAGGAAGCCTGGAGACAAAGGGATGGAGGGAGAGGACAATGGGGATTGGGGTGAGCTCTCCCCTATGAGCACTGTGGGACGATGGAATGGGTTGAATGGAGCTCAATGGAGCAAGGTGTCTCCATGGGTTGGATCTGGGTGGGTTTGAAGCTCCATCCCCTCCCATTACTCCTCCTTGGGGTCCAAAGAGGCTGTGGGGGGCCATGGGCGTCCATGGAGGTGGGACCCCGAATCCATCCTTCCCCTATGGCAGGAGCTCCCTCATCCTGCTCGGCGCTCATCGTGCTCCTGGTGCTGGTGATGCTGCTCAGTGGGGTCCTGCTCTGGCTCTTCCTCAAGAGGAGATGCATTGAAACAGCCCAAGCTGGAGGTAACCCCAACCCCACAACCCCATCTTCACCCATAGGGGTGCCCATGGAGGTGGGGATGAGCCCCACATCCTCTCCATCCCACAGCCCACCAGCGCCTTAGGGACCAGGATGCTCCTTCCGCCTCCTTCCAACCCATGGGGGCCATCTACCTGCCCCACACAGCACAAGGCCCCATGGAGGACACGGAGATGATGCAGCTCATGGAGGAAGATGCTGCCCAATGATGCTCAATACCCTGGGGGTCACATCAGGTTCTTGGGGTCCTTTACGTGCTCCTCAAGACTCAAAAGCACCAAAGACTTGGGGGACCCCCCCCTTCTCCTTGCCCCCAAGCAGCCCCCATGGCTCAGGAGGAGCAATTAAAAGGGGGACCCCAACCTTCTGGATGCGATGGGTGAGTGCTGGTTGGGGGGGGCCCCCATATACACAAGGTCCAAGATGGGCATCCCTGGGAGCAGCAATGGTCCTCATCCCCCATCCAAGACACACATCAGAAAGAACCCCCCCCTGCCCCATTTGGTCTTCAGGATGAGGTCCCATAGGGCAGGATGCTCCTCTCCAAGAGGAATCCATGGGGATATATGGGATTAGAAGGGGTCCAAGGTCTGCTGGAGGCCAACCAGGTGGATAAAGCAGATGGGAACCTGCTGAGATGTGCCCAGCACCCTATGGGCCATAAAGGACGTTGAGGACCACCCCCAGCATCAAATCCCAGCCCCATGAGCCTCAATGGGGCCAGAGCTGAAAGAGGATGAAGGGAAGGAGCTGGGGAGCCCATAAGCACCCCCATAGGGGATCCATCACCTGGATGATCCCCAAAGAGGGATCTGATGGCCCCTTGCCCAATTGACCTCCCACCAGGAGCCCATAAAGGTGCTGAGACAAAGGCCCAGTTCAACCAGCATCCTGTAATGGGTGTGCACATCCCAACCCCATCCCACCCCCCCAGTGCTACAGGGACCGTATGGGATAAGGGGGGGACATGGGTCTGGGATCTCCATGGACAGCACCAAGGGCATCCAGACAAGGCCCTCGTGTCCTCAGAGGCAATGGTCCAGGTGCTCATCAAGAGGATGGATGGAGGATGCCAAGGGCTCCTCGTGTCCCGCTTGAAGGACCCCATCCGGGTGCTGCTGGACTGGGATGGGGTGGGAATGGGGCAGGAATGGGGCCATGGGAAGCAAACAGGCTTCAGGTGTCCACTCTTCCCTATGGGTCCTCCATCACTTGGACCAGTGGCATCTCCCATCCCAAAAGCAGGGATGTCCATCCCCTGCCGTGCTCCTCCATCCCAGTATCCCACTGGGATCGTCCTGTATGGAAGCAGCTCCAGCGTTGGCAAAGGGCTCAGGAGGAGCGTGGCTTTATGGAGGTGATGCCTCCGCCATGCTCTTATGGGGTCCAGGAGGTGATGCTCTGGTGGGGTTCCATGGGGTGTTGCCTACCCCATGTTCTTATGGGGTCCAGGAGGTGATGCTCTGGTGGGGTTCCATGGGGTGATGCCTACCCCATGTCCTTATTGGGGTCCAGGAGGTGATGCTCTTATGGGGTCCATAAAGTGATGTCTACCCCATGTTCTTATGGGGTTCCAGATGATGCTCTTATGGGGTCCAAGAGACAATGCCTACCCCATGCCCTTACTGGGGTCCAGGAGGTGATGCTCTTGTGGGATCCATAAAGCGATGCCTACCCCATGTTCTTATAGGGGTCCATGAGGCGATTCCTACCCCATGTTCTTATGGTGGTCCATGAGGTGATGCTCTTATGGGGTCCATTAGGCAATGCCTACCCCATATTCTTATGGGGTCCATGAGGTGATGCTCTTATGGGGTCCATGAGGCAATGCCTACCCCATGCCCTTACTGGGGTCCATGAGGTGATGCTCTTATGGGGTCCATAAAGTGATGCCTACCCCATGTTCTTACGGGGTCCCATGAGGCGATGCCTGCCCCATGTCCTTACTGGGGTCCAGGAGGTGATGCTCTTATGGGGTCCATGAGGATGATGCCTACTCCATGTTCTTATGAGGGTCCATTAGGCAATGCCTACCCTATACTTGATGGAGGTCCATGAGGTGATGCTCTTATGGGGTCCTATGATGCGACGCCTACCCCATGTCCTTATGGTGGTCCATGAGGCGATGCTCTTATGGGCTCCATGAGACGATGCCTACCCCATGCCCTTATGGAGGTCCATGAGGCGATGCTCCTATGGGGTCCATGAGAACGATGCCTACCCCATGGCTCTTATGGGGTCCCATAAGGCTGATGCCCACCCCACGTCTCTTATGGGACCCCACAAGGCCGCCGCCTCCCCCCTCCCCTCCTCTCACCCGTCGCGGTGCACCCGCTGGTGCTGCAGCAGGTTAGACGGGTGCGCGAACCCCTTCTCGCACACCCCACACTTGTAGGGCGTCTCCCCCGTGTGCACCTTCTCGTGCACGGCCAAGTAAGCCAGGTCCTTGAAGTACTTATGGCAGAAGCTGCACTCGTAGGGCCTCTCCTGGCTGTGCACCCGGTGATGCTGCAGCAGCAGCGAGGGCCTGGCGAAGGCTTTACCGCACGCCTCGCACTTGTAGGGCCGCTCGCCCGTGTGGGCCCGCTCGTGGATCACCAGGTAGGAGGACTGCTTGAAGGCCTTGCCGCACGTCTTGCAGGCGAAGGGCCTCTCACCGGTGTGCACCCGTTCATGGGACGCCAACGCGTTGGATTGCTTGAACCCTTTACCGCACAGCGGGCACACAAAGGGCCGGTCACCGGTGTGCACCCGTTCGTGCACCTTAAGGCTATGGCCGTAGGTGAACTTCTTACCGCAGACACCACACACGTGGGGCTTGTCATCGCAGTGCTGCCGCTGGTGGAGGAGGAGCGCGTTGGAGGTGGGGAACTCCTTACGGCACTGGGAGCACCGGAAAGGCCTCTGTGCGCCGTGGGTGAGCGCGTGGCGCTGGAGCTCGTAGGGCGTCTTGAAGGCCTTGGCGCAGCGGTGGCAGCGGTGGGGCCGCTCGGCGCTGTGGATGCGCCGGTGCTCCTGGAGGTTGGAGGAGCGCTTGAAGCGCTTGCCGCAGAGCTCGCAGCGGAACGGCCGCTCCTCGCTGTGCACCAGAGCGTGGCTCTTGAAGTCCGAGTGGCGCTTGAAGGAGGCCTGGCAAAGGGAGCACCGGAACGGGCGCTCCTCGTTGTGGACAACCTCGTGGCTAAAGAGCTCCCAAGCCCGCTTGAAGGCCTTGGTGCACACAGGGCATTGGAAGGGCTTCTCGTCCACGATCACCTCCCGGATCTCCAGTTCGTCGTCGGCGTTAGGTACTGGGGGCAATGGGAACGCCGCCACGGCCTCCTCCAGCACCAGTTTGGCCGTGGAGTAGATGCCGCGCTCGTCGATCAGCTGAACAAAGCCGCCCTTGGAGCGGGGGATGCGGAGGGAGCCGCGCTCTTCATCATCACCATCACCATCATCACCATCATCACCATCATCACCATCATCACCATCATCACCATCATCACCATCATCACCATCATCACCATCATCACCATCATCACCATCATCACCATCACCATCATCACCATCATCACCACCATCACCATCATCGCTGCTCCGTGGTCCTTCCTCCATCACCCTCGGCGTCCACATAAGGGATGCAGAGGCCGCGTCGGCCTCAGCGGTGAGGGTTTGGTGATGCCGGATTGAGGGGGGCTGAGCGCTGGGAGCCCCTTCCTCTTCCTCCTCCTCTTCCTCCTCCTCGCCTTCAGCCTCAGGTCCAATGGGAAGGCGCCGGGATACAGGATCCGGTTGCTGCTCCATGGTGGTGGCTGGGAAGAGCGGGAGAGGAGCGATGGGATGGAGCTGGGCACGGGGAGGGGAGCAGGGGATTGGTTCCCATGGGGACCCCACAAGTACTCACGGGGTCCTAAAGGGGGGGATGGGAGGAGGCGGGGCCATGGGAGAGCCCAGTGCGGGATCCACGGTGAGATTCCATCCGGGAAGCAGGGAGCAGCTGGGGGGAATGAGGGGTCCAATGGGGAATCCCTGCTGGGAATCCCCTATGGGATGTAAGGAACGCCCCAGTGTGTCCCAGTGCCCACAGTGTAGATCCCAATCCTTCCCACTATGAACCAGCCATCAGTGCAGCACGTCCCAGTACTTTATCCCAGTGCATCCCAGTCCCTTATCCCAGTACATCCCAGACCTTTATCCCATTCCCAGTCCTTCATCCCATTCCCAGTTCTTTATCCCAGCGCATCCCAGTCCTTTATCCCATTCCCAGTCCTTCATCCCAGCACATCCCAGTCCCTTATCCCAGCACATCCCAGACCTTTATCCCATTCCCAGTCCTTCATCCCATTCCCAGTTCTTTATCCCAGCGCATCCCAGTCCTTTATCCCATTCCCAGTCCTTCATCCCAGCACATCCCAGTCCCTTATCCCAGCACATCCCAGACCTTTATCCCATTCCCAGTCCTTCATCCCATTCCCAGTCCTTCATCCCAGCACATCCCAGTCCTTTATCCCATTCCCAGTCCTTCATCCCAGCACATCCCAGTCCTTCATCCCAGCACAACCCAGCACATCCCAGGCCTTTATCCCATTCCCAGTCCCTTATCCCAGCACATCCCAGTCCTTTATCCCAGCACATCCCAGTCCTTCATCCCAGCACATCCCAGTCCCTTATCCCAGCACATCCCAGTCCTTTATCCCAGCACATCCCAGTCCTTTATCCCAGCACATCCCAGTCCTTTATCCCAGCACATCCCAGTCCCTTATCCCATTCCCAGTCCTTCATCCCAGCACCCCCCATTCCTAACACGGTTCCCCTCTCCCCCCTCCCCGCCCCCCCCCGGGCCTACCCCGACCCCGGAGCCTCCGGTACCTCAGCCCCCCCCCCACCTTCAACATCGCAATGGATCCTCCCGTTCTCCTTCCCCCTTCCCGTCCCTATTCCCGTTCCCGTTCCCGTTCCCGTTCCCGTTCCCTTCCCCGTTCCCGTCCCCGTTCCGTTCCCGTTCCCTTCCCCGTTCCCGTCCCCGTTCCGTTCCCGTTCCCTTCCCCGTTCCCGTCCCCATTCCCATTCCCATTCCCATTCCCATTCCCATTCCCGTTCCCGTCCCCGTTCCGTTCCCATTCCCATTCCCGTTCCCGTTCCCGTTCCCGTTCTCACCGTTCCCCACCGGCCGCCGCCGCCGCCGCCACCTCCCCCGCTGCCGCTTCCGGCCGCGCTCGCGCGCTGCGCATTAACGTCACTTCCGGGGGGCGGGGCTGAGCGAGGCGAAGGGAGGGGGGGGCACGGGTGTGCAAGGGGACGTGGGTGTGCACGTGGCACACGCGTGTGCACGTGGTACATGTGTGTTCACGTGGTACATGTATGTTCGTGTGTGCACGTGGGACATGCGTGTGCACGTGGTACATGTGTGTTCGTGTGTGTGTGCACGTGATACACGGGTGTGCACGTGGTACATGTGTGTTGGTGTGTGCACATGGTACATGTGTATTCACATGTGTGCGCACGTGGTACATGTATGTGCATGGAGACGTGTTCATGGGTGTGTGTGGTACATGTATGTGCACATGGTACATGTGTGTGCATGTATGTGTGTGCACATGGTACGTGTGTGCACTTGGTTTGTGTGCACATGGGGCCATGTGTGCATGGGGACATGTGTTCATGTGTGTGTGCACATGTACATGTATGTGCACGGGGGGACACGTGTGCATGGAGACACGTGTGTGCACATGTACATGTATGTGCATGGGGACATGTATGTGCATGGGGAGACGTATGTGCGTGGGACTTGTGTGTACATGGGGATGCGTGTGTGCATGGGACATGTATGTGCATGGGGACATGTATGTGCATAGGGAGATGAATGTGCATGAGACGTGTCCATGGGGACACGTGTGTGCATGGGGACATGTGTGTTCTGCGACATGCAGTTCCTATTGAAGCCCCACCCCATTCCATGAGGGATGCTCCCATTGGCCAGAGCAGGATGCAGGTGATGCTGGCACTGATGCTGTCACCATGGAAACCACCCCCTGGACCACAGCAGCATGGAGCTTGCATCCGCCTTTATTGCATCGGCTTCATCACCTGCAATGGGTACCACTGATGGGAGGGGGCATCGCTTGGGGATGGGGTACACTTGAGCCTGGGTTGTCCTCTTTGGTCCTCATGGACCTCAGAACCCCCTTCCACTTGGCTTGAAGGCAAAACCATCCCTCTCCTCCGCGTCCATGGGCTTTAGATCCCACCTGGAATGAAAGGGATGGAAACGCAGCTTGCTTTAGGCTGCCAAGCCATTGAATGGGCCTAATGAGCAGATAATGCCTAGGGATGGGTAAGCGATTCCAATAGGAACATGGGAATCATCCCCCCAAAACATCCAAGCACCAGCTCCAGCATCACCCCCATTGGACTTGGCCAAGACAAGAGGTGATGCTGGTGAAGAGCAAGGAGGCACCAGCACCAGCATCCAGCCTCAGAGCTGGGTACCAGTGAATGCCTATTGGGGTGCCTCCATCCTCTGCCTCCACAATGCACCCAATGGAAGGATGCTTCTGGTACCCACAATGCACTCAATGGAAGGATGCTGCTGGTACCCAGAATGCACCCAATGGAAGGATGCTGCTGGTACCCAGAATGCACCCAATGAAAGGATGCTGCTGGTACCCAGAATGCACTCAATGGAAGGATGCTGCTGGTACCCACAATGCACCCAATGGAAGGATGCTTCTGGTACCCAGAATGCACCCAATGAAAGGATGCTGCTGGTACCCAGAATGCACTCAATGAAAGGATGCTGCTGGTACCCACAATGCACCCAATGAAAGGATGCTTCTGGTACCCAGAATGCACCCAATGAAAGGATGCTTCTGGTACCCACAATGCACTCAATGGAAGGATGCTTCTGGTACCCAGAATGCACCCAATGAAAGGATGCTTCTGGTACCCACAATGCACTCAATGAAAGGATGCTTCTGGTACCCAGAATGCACCCAATGGAAGGATGCTTCTGGTACCCACAATGCACTCAATGAAAGGATGCTGCTGGTACCCAGAATGCACCCAATGAAAGGATGCTTCTGGTACCCAGAATGCACCCAATGGAAGGATGCTGCTGGTACCCAGAATGCACCCAATGAAAGGATGCTTCTGGTACCCAGAATGCACCCAATGAAAGGATGCTTCTGGTACCCAGAATGCACTCAATGGAAGGATGCTTCTGGTACCCAGAATGCACCCAATGAAAGGATGCTTCTGGTACCCAGAATGCACCCAATGGAAGGATGCTTCTGGTACCCACAATGCACTCAATGAAAGGATGCTTCTGGTACCCAGAATGCACCCAATGGAAGGATGCTTCTGGTACCCAGAATGCACCCAATGAAAGGATGCTTCTGGTACCCAGAATGCACCCAATGAAAGGATGCTGCTGGTACCCACAATGCACCCAATGGAAGGATGCTTCTGGTACCCACAATGCACCCAATGAAAGGATGCTTCTGGTACCCAGAATGCACTCAATGGAAGGATGCTGCTGGTACCCACAATGCACCCAATGAAAGGATGCTGCTGGTACCCACAATGCACTCAATAGAAGGATGCTGCTGGCACCAGGATGTGCCTGCAAGGGTCCCCCCCCCAAACATCCTCCCCTTGCCCCATCCCAAGCATTGGGTACCTGTGCAAACCACACCAGCATCCTCCCAGTGCCCACAGTTGTGGCTTCCCCAAGCAGGGGCTTTGCATTGGTCCAAAGCATCTTCGCTCCCATTGCATTGGACATCATCGAGCCAAATGGGGCCTGCCCCTTCCCCATAGGCAGCCCCATGGGGGGCCCCCAGAGCCTTGCCACAGCCCAGCTGCCTGCAGACCACGTTGGCCTCCATCAGGTCCCAGCCATCGTCGCAGACCGTTCCCCATTGCTGCCCATAGAAGACCTCGACTCGTCCGGAGCAGGGGTTGGGGCCGCCCATGAGGCGGAGTGGGGCGGGTTCAGCACGGTCTGGATGGGATGGAAGAGGGGAAAGGTTCCATAGGGAAAGGATGCGGTCAATGGGGCCTTCCAATGGGGAAGCATCCCCTCTGCCATCACAGCATCCCCGTGTGGATTGGGATGGGATGGAGCTCAAAGCCCATCCAGATCCATCCCGTTGCCATGGGGACACCTCGGACCAGCTTCTCCATCGAGCCCATTCCCACATCCCACCCTCCCTATGGGGATCTCCCTAAGAGCTCATCCCAACCATGTTTAAAGCCATTCCCATTGTCCTCTCCCCATATCCCTTCCCCTAAAACCCCTCTCCAGTTTCCTCATAGGCTCCTACGTTTAATGGGATGAGGGTGGGATGATGCCACAGCCCCTCTCTGCAGTGACCAAGGGAGAGCCCTTCCAATGAGGATGGATCCCTCTTTACCTCCCAATCCCATTGGATGCTGGGCTCAATGATGGGGCCTCCCCCCCCCAGCCCCATAGACCCCACTATGCGCCCCCCAGAGCATCCTTTACCTGCGCACACGACGCCTGCATCCTCTCGGTGCCCGCAGTTATGGGTACCCCAAGGCTTAGCCCCGCACTCGGAGAGGGCGCCTTCGGTCCCTTTGCAGGCCACATCATCCAACCAAATGGGATCGGGGCCCATCCCGAAGGCTGCGGCACCGGGAGCGGATAGGGCAGAGCCACAGCCCAGCTGCCGGCACAGGACCTCGGCGTCGCTCATGTCCCAGTGGTCATCGCACACCGTTCCCCATTGGTGGCCATAGAGCAGCTCCACTCTGCCGGAGCAGCGGCTGGAGCCGTTCACCAGCTGCACCGGTACTGGGGTTGTGGCCTCTGGGGCGGGGGGAATGGGGGGGGTAATGTTATCTTAATGCTGTATCAGCAGCATCATCACCAGCATCATCCCAGCATCACCAGCATCATCCCAGCATCACTAGCATCATCCCATCATCACCAGCATCATCCCAGCATCAGCAGCATCATCCCAGCATCACCAGCATCATCCCATCACCACCAGCATCATCCCAGCATCACCAGCGTCATCAGCATCATCACCAGCATCATCCCATCATCACCAGCATCATCACCAGCATCATCCCATCATCACCAGCATCATCCCATCATCATCATCATCCCATCATCATCCCATCATCATCCCATCATCATCATCATCATCCCATCATCATCATCATCATCCCATCATCACCAGCATCATCCCATCATCACCATCATCCCATCATCACCAGCATCATCCCATCATCAGCAGCATCATCCCATCATCATCAGCATCATCCCATCATCACCAGCATCATCCCATCATCAGCAGCATCATCCCATCATCACCAGCATCATCCCATCATCACCAGCATCATCCCATCATCACCATCATCCCATCACCACCAGCATCATCCCATCATCACCAGCATCATCCCATCATCACCAGCATCATCCCAGCATCACCAGCATCACCACCAGCATCATCCCATCATCACCGGCATCATCCCATCATCACTGGCATCATCCCATCATCACCAGCATCATCCCATCATCATCAGCATCATCCCATCATCACCAGCATCATCATCACCAGCATCATCACCAGCATCATCCCATCATCACCAGCATCATCCCATCATCACCAGCATCATCCCATCATCACCATCATCCCATCACCACCAGCATCATCCCAGCATCACCAGCATCATCCCATCATCACCAGCATCATCCAAGCATTACCAGCATCATCCCATCATCACCAGCATCATCCCATCATCACCATCATCACCAGCATCACCATCATATCATCACTATCACCCCTTATTCTACCACTATAATCAATGATGAAGGCCCCTCTCCAGCATCCTTATAGCCCCCTTTGGACACTGGGACCTGCTCTGAGGTCTCCATGCATCTTCCCTAGATCCCTATGGATGATCCCGATGGACCAATCAACCCTTTGGGATCAAACCCTTTCCCTATGGGGTGAGCATCCCCATCCTTTACCTGCACACACAACCCCTGCATCCTCTCTTCAATAGATCCCTATGGATGATCCCGATGGACAAATGAAGCCTTTGGGATCAAACCCTTTCCCTATGGGGTGAACATCCCCATCCTTTACCTGCACACACAACCCCTGCATCCTCTCTTCAATAGATCCCTATGGATGATCCCCATGGACCAATCAACCCTTTGGGATCAAACCCTTTCCCTATGGGGTGAGCATCCCTGTCCTTTACCTGCACACACAACCCCTGCATCCTCTCCATGGTCACAGTTATGCTCCCCCCATGGTCTGGTCCTACAGGCCGAGAGCTCCTCTTCCATCCCATTGCACTCCACATCATCGAGCCAAATGGGCCCCGTTCCCCATCCAAAGGGAGCCGATCCCGGGGCCGCCAGCGCTTCCCCGCATCCCAGTTGCCTGCACACGACGCCGGCATCGCGGAGGTCCCATCGGTCGTCGCACACCGTGCCCCACTGCTGGTCCCATAGCACCTCGATTCGCCCCACGCAGCGGTGGGGGCCCCCCAGGAGGCGGATGGGGGCCGGGAGGGCAGCGCCTGCATCCCAATGGAAGGAGAGGAATGGAATGGGTTGGGTGGTCCCAACCAGCATCATTCCCATAATAAACTGAGAGAGAGAAGATCCCTTTCCTCTATATAGGGAAACCCCAGGGTTTTATTGGGATTCCCAATGGAAGGAGAGCATTGATGGAGGGAGTGATGGGATGGAATGGGTTGGGTGATCCCAACCAGCATCATTCCCATAATAAACCGAGAGAGAGAAGATCCCTTTCCTCTCTATAGGGAAACCCCAGGGTTTTATTGGGATTCCCAATGGAAGGAGAGCATTGATGGAGGGATGGAATGGAATGGGTTGGGTGATCCCAACCAGCATCATTCCCATAATAAACCGAGAGAGAGAAGATCCCTTTCCTCTATATAGGGAAACCCCAGGGTTTTATTGGGATTCCCAATGGAAGGAGAGCATTGATGGAGGGAGGGATGGAATGGAATGGGTTGGGTGATCCCAACCAGCATCATTCCCATAATAAACCGAGAGAGAGAAGATCCCTTTCCTCTATATAGGGAAACCCCAGGGTTTTATTGGGATATAAACCTGGCACGGGATGCCGAGGATCCCTCCTTATTCAGGAAGGTGCTATGGGATGGTTTAAGCATCTTTGGTACTCAATGGCTTTTAGGTGCTCATCTCAGTGCCCTTAGGGCAAGGGCTGCAGCCCAAATCCTGCTGGATCCTCTCTTTGGTGCTATTGGAATGCATGGGGTAAATTCCCAATGAGCTTTAAATCCCATGCTCATATCCCAATCACTTCCCTTTATATCCCAATCACTTCCCTTCACTTCTTTATATCCCAATCACTTCCCTTTATATCCCAATCACTTCCCTTCCCTTCTTTATATCCCAATCCCTTCCCTCCATATCCCAATCCCTTCCCTTCACTTCTTTATATCCCAATCACTTCCCTTTATATCCCAATCCCTTCCCTCCATATCCCAATCCCTTCCCTTCACTTCTTTATATCCCAATCACTTCCCTTTATATCCCAATCACTTCCCTTTATATCCCAATCACTTCCCTTCACTTCTTTATATCCCAATCACTTCCCTTTATATCCCAATCACTTCCCTTTATATCCCAGTCCCTTCCCTTCACTTCTTTATATCCCAATCCCTTCCCTCCATACCCCAATCCCTTTCCTCCATACCCCAATCCCAATCCCTTCCCTTCACTTCTGTATATCCCAATCACTTCCCTTCACTTCTTTATACCCCAATCCCTTCCCTTCACTTCTTTATACCCCAATCCCTTCCCTCCATACCCCAATCCCTTCCCTCCATACCCCAATCCCAATCCCAATCCCTTCCCTTCCCATCTCATTCTTCCCCCCTTTCTTGCTGTCGGTCATTGCCTGGCACTGATGCAGAGCCTGGAACAGCTCTGTTGGGGGGTTCCATTCTGTCCCCCCACCCCTGGTGCTGGTCCCACCCCGCCCCATGGCCCCAGGGGGAAGGCAGGGCCCAGGCTTAGCTTTGGGATCAGAGCCATCACTCAGAGCCCGCTCCCTCTTTGCTTCCCTGTTTTCCTAGGGCCGGTCCCTGGGTATTTGCCTTGCCAACGCCTCCCCATCCCGGATGCCCTTGGGCTCATCCCATACCCGAGTCCCCAACCGGGGGTCCTATCCCAGCCACAAACCCCCCTTTGTTTAGGGCAGGGATACAAGGGGGCTCCATGCATCCCAATGGATCCATCCCCATCCATGACCCATCTCCACTTCCCCAAATGCAAACCCTTACCCCAAAGCCACGCCAAGAGGAAGAGCTCGGTTCCCATCCTGCTCCCAAGGGATGAACCCAGGTTTCCAGTGACCGGGAGATGGAGGATTCCCACTGGAGCCATGGAATGAGGCAGCTCCTGGGATGAGCAGCGCGGTCCCAATAGGAACAACAGAGCCGATGGTAAGGACCAAGGGACAAAGAGTGATCCCCTTGGCTCCTCCCATTGGGTGGCCTCTCCCCTTCCAGTGCTTGTTCTCCTCCCTCTTCATCCTCGTTTCCCTCTTCCCATGCTCTTCCATCCATTGGATAAAGGGGGAAACCCATCCTGAACCCCAAAGCAAAGCAGGGGGTGGCGCTTCCCAATGGGATGTGGATGGAGCCAAGGGATCCATCCTAAGCCTGATTTAGGTGCTTTAATCCCAGTCAGTCCATTAGGATGCACTGGAGATGCTTGGACCATGGACCAGTTGTTGCCATGGATACGCGTTAAGGATGGAGATACGGGCACCTCTGATTGGCCTTGATAGCAGGAGATGCCCCACGTGAGCACTGGGATGCAGGAACGTGAAGCACGTTTTGGGTCATTTTTAGGCAGGAAAAGTGGCAAGAAATGGATGTTATTGGATGACACAGCAGGGATTACATAGAGGAGGCCTGGACCAGGGCAGGCCCTAAGGCTGGAAAGCAGGAGGAGAGATCCTATGGGATAGCAGAGCATCAATGAGCCCATAGACTCAATACCAGCAGGTCTACATGGTCCATCCCATTGTGCTGCTTTCACCATTAGATCCAAGGTGGGGGGGTCCTGGTCCTATGGGACCTCATTTGGCAGCTCCAGTGCCATGATTTGACCCCAAAACAGGACCCAAAGGGGTTAAATCCAATGGTGGGGCTGCAGGAGCCCATTGAAGGACACATCAGTGCATTGGCATCAGCTTGGCATCAAGCAGTGCAAACCACTCCATCCCCCATAACAACCAATGGGGTTTATTTGCCATCAATCAGTGCAAACCACTCCATCCCCATACAAACCAATGGGGTTTATTTGCCATCAATCAGTGCAAACCAGTCCATCCCCATACAGAACCAATGGGGTTTATTTGCCATCAATCAGTGCAAACCACTCCATCCCCATACAGAACCAATGGGGTTTATTTGCCATCAATCAGTGCAAACCACTCCATCCTCCATCAAACCAATGGGGTTTATTTGCCATCAATCAGTGCAAACCACTCCATCCCCATACAGAACCAATGGGGTTTATTTGCCATCAATCAGTGCAAACCACTCCATCCCCATACAGAACCAATGGGGTTTATTTGCCATCAATCAGTGCAAACCACTCCATCCCCATACAGAACCAATGGGGTTTATTTGCCATCAATCAGTGCAAACCACTCCATCCTCCATCCAAACCAATGGGGTTTATTTGCCATCAATCAGTGCAAACCACTCCATCCCCATACAGAACCAATGGGGTTTATTTGCCATCAATCAGTGCAAACCACTCCATCCTCCATACAAACCAATGGGGTTTATTTGCCATCAATCAGTGCAAACCACTCCATCCTCCACCCCAACCAATGGGGTTTATTTGCCATCAATCAGTGCAAACCACTCCATCCTCCATACAAACCAATGGGGTTTATTTGCCATCAATCAGTGCAAACCACTCCATCCTCCATACAGAACCAATGGGGTTTATTTGCCATCAATCAGTGCAAACCACTCCATCCTCCATACAAACCAATGGGGTTTATTTGCCATCAATCAGTGCAAACCACTCTAAACTGGAGCTTTATGGGGGATGAATGGGGCAGGATCCCATAGATGCTGGTGCTGTTTGCCTATGGGGAGGGTTTGAGCACAGAGCCAAGGGATCACAATGGCCCCATTTGTGCCTTGTTTAAACTGGGATCAATGGGGATGACGTTGATGTTGATGGGTGCCAGGGCTCAGGTGCTCTGATCTCCTTAGGTTCAATACATTGATCCCTAACCCTAATCCTAACCAAACCCTATGCACTAAACCCTAAATACTAAACCTTACTGTAACATTAACACTAACCCTAACCCTAACCCTAACTGTAACCCTAACCCTAACACTACACCAAACCTTAACCCTAACCATAACCTCAACCCCAACTCTGAAATTAACCCTAACACATACCAATGAACCTAACCCTAAACCTAACCCTTCCCCTAACACATACCAGTAACCCGAACCCATAAACTGTACACTTTAACCCTAAACCTAACCCTAACCCTAAACTCAAACCTAACACTAACCCTAAACCTAAAACTAACCCCTAAATTCTAACCCTAACCTCAACCCTAAATTGACAGTAAAATAACCATAACCGTAACCCCTAAATCCTAACCCTTAACCCTAACCCTAACATTAACCCTAACCCTAACGTTAACTCTAACCCTAACCTTAACCCTAATCATAACATTAACCCTATACCTAAACCTAAACTTAATCCTACCCTTAACCCTAAACTTAACCTTAACCCTAGTCCTGAGCCTAACCCTAAACTTAAACCTAACCTTAACCTAAACACTAACCATAACCATAACCCTAACCTCAACCTTAACCCTAGCATTAACCTTAAACCTAAACCTAACCCTAACACTAACCTTAACCATAACCCTAAACTTAACCCTAACCCTAACCCTAACGCTAACCTCAACCCTACCCCTAACCCTTAACCCTAACCCTTAACCCTAACCCTTAACCCTAACCCTTAACCCTAACCCTAACCGTAACCTTAACCCTAACCCCTTAACCCTACCCCTCACCCCTCACACCCGACACGGGTCCCCCCCTTCCACAGACCAACAAGGCCCGAACCTACCCCTGACTCCCAGCACCCTCCTCACCCTCACCCACCCGGACACAGCCCCCCGGTGCCGGTGCCCATCCCCGTAGCCTCGCGTCAGGCGGGCGGTGAAGGGCACCCTGGCATCCACGCGCCCCCCAACCAAGGCGACGGCGCAGGCGCTCCCCACGGCCACCTCCCTCTCCATCACCTCCCTATGGGGCACGTACTCCACGGTGCTCCCTCCTCCCACCCAGGGCACGGCGCCCACAGCACCCACATCCCACCCGCTCCCATTGAAGAGCAACGGGGCCGCCTCGAGGACCCCGGGGGTGTCGGTGAAGAAGTTGGGGGTCAAGACCCAATCGTGCTCCACTTCCGACGCCGTCTCCATAGGGATGGGGCCGGAGCGAGGGGTGCAACCGCGGTTCTGCACCGTGGTGGTGGCCAAGGTGACGTCCTGGACGCCCATCACCGCCCGGCTCGTGTCATAAACCACATGGGTGATGGTGACGTTGGACGGGCCCCGCTTGGCCACCAACACTTGGTACCACTTGAACCACAGCTCCTCCCCATCGACCACCACAAAGGCCGCCCTCTGCTCCTTCACCACCTTCCCCAAGCCATAGGAGGTCCTGGCCACGAAGACGTCGTCGTGGGGACACGTCTCGACGGCGCCATCCGGAACGGCCCCAAAAGAGGCGTTCGCCCATTGGAGGGGCTCCAGGTCCCCGATGTTGACCAAGAGGTTGAAGGATGGGGAACGGAGCTCGCGGTCGCCAAAGGGGTAGAAGCAAAAGGGGCCTCGGGAGGGGACGTAGGCGCCGCTGTGGCAGCCGGGGACGGAGCAGATGAATTCCAGGCGTTGGGAATGGGGGTTCCAGTTGGAGACGGTGTCCATGGGGAGGTGGCCTTGGAAGGGCACCCATTGGAGGGGGGAGACGGGGGCGTCCGGGAGCCAAGGGGTGGCTACAGGGGGGGGAAAGAGGGAGGGTGGTGAGGATGGGGGGGAATGGAGGGAGGCCAATGGGGTGGGGTCATCCCAATGGATGGAGCCAATGGGGTGGGGTCATCCCAATGGATGGAGCCAATGGGGTGGGGTCATCCCAATGGATGGAGCCCAATGGATGGAGCCCAATGGAGTGGGTTCATCCCAATGGATGGAGCCCAATGGGGTGGGGTCATCCCAATGGATGGAGCCCAATGGGGTGGGGTCATCCCAATGGATGGAGCCCAATGGAGTGGGTTCATCCCAATGGATGGAGCCCAATGGGGTGGGGTCATCCCAATGGATGGAGCCCAATGGAGTGGGTTCATCCCAATGGATGGAGGCCAATGGAGTGGGGTCATCCCAATGGATGGAGCCCAATGGAGTGGGTTCATCCCAATGGATGGAGCCCAATGGATGGAGGCCAATGGAGTGGGGTCATCCCAATGGATGGAGCCAATGGATGGAGGCCAATGGGGTGGGGTCATCCCAATGGATGGAGGCCAATGGAGTGGGGTCATCCCAATGGATGGAGCCCAATGGATGGAGCCCAATGGAGTGGGTTCATCCCAATGGATGGAGCCCAATGGATGGAGCCCAATGGAGTGGGTTCATCCCAATGGATGGACCCAATGGATGGAGCCCAATGGAGTGGGTTCATCCCAATGGATGGACCCAATGGATGGACTCACATTGGAGCAGCCTCATCCCAATGGATGGACCCCCATTGGCCCACGTTCATCCCAATGGAGCATCCCAATTGACGGGCCCACGTTCATCCCAATGGAGCATCCCAATGGACGGACCCACGTTCATCCCAATGGAGCATCCCAATGGACGGGCCCACGTTCATCCCAATGGAGCATCCCAATGGACGGGCCCACGTTCATCCCAATGGAGCATCCCAATGGACGGGCCCACGTTCATCCCAATGGAGCATCCCAATGGATGGAGCCCAATGGAGCGGGTTCATCCCAATGGAGCATCCCCATGGAACAAACCCATCAGGACCCAGACTCACCCCGGCGCTGCCGAATTCCCATTGCTCCCATTGGAGCCATTCCAGGACCTCGGATGAGGAAGAGGAGGAGGAGGAAGAGCTGTGGGGACCAAAGAGGGGGTGGGGGGATGGGATTTGATCCCACTTCTCCCTATGGAACGCTCCTAAACCCCATAACCCCCCCCTCAATGTACCTCGAGCATCCGCATCCCAACGGCCAATTCCAGAGCTTGGGATCGAGCTGGAATGGAAGCGAGATCCGGATGAACTGGGGCAGCTCCACGGCCTCATCCCATTCCCACCCCATCGCCCCCATCATTCCCGATGCTCGGATGTGCTAAAAGCCCCCGTTTTGGGGCTAAATCCACCCATTTTGGGCATTCCCGAGCTCACCTCAGCTCCCTTTTGGGTGGAAATCCCGGCTTTTTTAGGCCGTTTTCAGGCCCTTTTTGGGATCCCAATGGGGGCGGGGCCGGGGCTGGGGCACCCTGGGAAGTCCAAAATCCAACGGGAAAAGCGCAAACAAAGGGGACGAGGCCACGGTGGGGGAGGGGAATTGGCCCCATTTGGGTGGAATTTCACCCGGAATTCCCATGTTTCCATGGGGTTGCCCCTCCCCCCCCCCCCCCCCATCCATCCCATTGGGACGCTCCCAAATCCCATCTTTTCCCATGGAAAACACCCCCCGGAGCGCCCATCCCCCACTTTCCCATTGGACTCCCACCCACTTCCGCCTCCCCCAGCCAATGGCCAAGGGGCTTAGAGCCAACTCCCACCCCCACGTCCAATCCCAGCCTCCCAAATGGCCAACACTGGGAAAAGCCATTCCCAAAGTGGGGGCGCATCCGGATAAACCCCCCCATAGCCACCAGTGAATCCCATTCCCGGTCCCATCCGGCCCCATAGGAAGCACCCGGAACCAATCTCAGGCCTTTATTTGCCCCCCACCGGGGGGGGGGGTGACCCCCAAAGGGGGTAAATACCGGGGGGGGCAGTGCAAATACCCCAAGAGGGGGCAAATAGTGGGGGGGTGGGGGGGGAAGAGAGACTGGGGGGGGTAAATAACCCAAGGGGGGGTAAATAACTCAATAAGGGGGTAAAGAACCCAATAAGTGGGGAAAATGAGCCACTAAAGGGGGTAAATAACTCAATAAGGGGGTAAAGAACCCAAGGGGAAATGAGCCAGAAGGGGAAATAACTCAATAAGGGGGGTAAAGGACCCAATGGCGGGGTAAAAAACCCAATAGAGGGGTAAATGACCCAATAAAGGGGGCAAATAACCCAATAGAAGAGTAAAAAACCCAGTAAGGGGGGTAAATAACCCAATAGAGGGGTAAATAACCCAATAAGGGGGGTAAATAACCCAATAGAGGGGTAAATAACCCAATAAGGGGGGTAAATAACCCAATAGAGGGGTAAATAACCCAATAGAGGGGTAAATAACTCAATGGGGGGGTAAATGGGGCAATGGGGGGGGCAATTGGCCAATGGGGGGGGCAGATCCCCCTGTAGTGTGTCCCAGGTGCCCCCCCCCCGACCCATGGAGGGGTCAAAGGTGACTTGGGGTCAGCCCTGGGGTCACCAGAGGTCAAAGGGCATCATCAGGGTGGGGTCTAAGGTCACATGGCCCAGGCCACACGGCAGGGGTCAGGGGTCGAAGGTCACCCGTCATGGGGGGTCACATGGTCAGGGTTCAGGCGTCACATGCCACAGGCACGTGGCAGAGGTCATCGGTCACATGGGCAGGGGGCAGAGCCCGCAGCTCACGTGTTGGGGGTCAAAGGTCACAGGACATGGAGGCACGGGTCAGAGGTCATGCGGTCAGAGGTCATGCGGTCAGAGGTCATGCGGTCAGAGGTCATGCGGTCAGTCATGTGGTCAGAGGTCGGAGATGACAGAGCAGAGATTGACGGCAATAGGTCAGGGACAGTGGTCAAGGGTCAGGGGTCAGTGGTCATGTGGTCAGAGGTCACAGGTCATGTGGTCAGGGGCGACAGAGCAGAGACTGATGGTAATGGGTCAGGGTCAGTAGTCAAAGGCCAGGATCACGTGGTCAGGGTCACGTGGTCGGGGTCACGGGGGTCAGGGGTCAGAGGTCAGTCCCGCCGCAGGTTCTTGAGCCGTTCCTCCAGGTCAGCGTCGGCATCGGCCAGAGCGGCCGCGGGCTCCGCCGGGCGCCCCTCCCCCGCCGAGAGAGCGCCCCCTGGGGGCGGCAGCGCTGGAACGGGAGCGGGGTCAGGGCCAGGCCCAGGGGGACCCAGAGGGACCCATAGGGACCCATAGAGACACATAGGGACCCATAGAGACCCATAGGGACCCATAGAGACCCATAGGGACACATAGAGACACATAGAGCCCCATAGCACCCATAGAGACCATACAGACCCATAGAGCCCATAGAGACCCATAGAGACAACAGAGACCATAGAGCCCATAGAGAACAATAGCACCCATAGAGACCATAAAGCCCCATAGCACCCATAGAGACCCATAGAGCCCCATAGCACCCATAGAGACCCATAGAGACCACAGAGACCCAGAGAGCCCCATAGCACCCATAGAGACCATATAGACCCATAGAGCCCATAGAGACCCATAGCAGCCATAGAGACCCACAGCACTCATAGAGCCCCATAGCACCCATAGAGACCCATAGAGACCATAGCACCCATAGAGCCCCATAGCACCCATAACACCCATAGCACCCATAGAGCCCCATGGCACCAATTGCCCCCCATTACCCCACTGCCCCCCATTGCCCCATTCCCCCCCATTGCCCCCAGTGCCCCCCACTCACTGGCCAGCTCATCGGTCAGGTTCAGCCCCAGCTCATCCAGCACTTGGGACACGACGGCGTCACTGGGGGGACATCAGCAGGAGGTGACACCAGCGCCCCATGGCCCCCCCCCATGGCCCCATTGCACCCCATTGCTCCCCCCATTAGTCCCCATTGGTGCCCCACTGATGTCCCCATTGATGTCCCCACTGGTGTCCAAATTGGTCCCAACTGGTCCTCCCATTGGTGCCCATTGGTGTCCAAATTTGTCCCCATTGGTGTCCCCATTGGTGTCCTCTGATGTTCCCATTGGTCCCCATTGGTGTCCCCATTGGTGTCCCCATTGGTGTCCCCATTGGTGTCCCCTATGGTGTCCCCTGACGTTCCCATTGGTCCCCATTGGTGTCCCCATTGGTGTCCTCTGATGTTCCCACTGGTCCCCATTGCTCCCCATTGCTGCCCCCATTGCTCCCCATTGCTCCCCATTGGTGCCCCCATTGCTCCCCATTGCTCCCCATTGCTCCCCATTGCTCTCCCCATTGCTCCCCATAGCCCCCATTGCTCCCCATTGCTCCCCATTGCTGCCCCCATTGCTCCCCATTGCTATCCCCATTGCTCCCCCATTGCTCCCCATTTCTCCCCCATTGCTCTCCCCATTACTCCCCCATTGCTCCCCCATTGCTCCCCATTGCTGCCCCATTGCTCCCCATTGCTGTCCCCATTGCTGCCCCATTGCTGCCCCATTGCTCCCTCCCTTCTCATTGCTCTCCCCATTGCTCCATCCCCATGTGCCCCATCTGCCCCCCATTGCTGCCCCCATCCCTTCATCCCCATTGCTCCCCATTGCTCCCCATTGCTCCCCATTGCTCCCCATTGCTGCCCCATTGCTCCCCATTGCTCCCCATTGCTCCCCATTGCTCCCCCCTGCTCCCACCTCTCCTCCTCATCCTCCTCGTCGCCCATGGCGTCATCAATGGCGTCGTTCATCAGCTCCTCCTTCATGTCCATGATCTCGGCCTGCTTCTCGAAGTCCATCATGATCCTCTGGATCTGGGGCAGCTTCAGCTGCAGGGGGGCACGGTCACTGGGAGGCCATGGGGCCACCGAGCCATGGGGCCACCGAGCAATGGGGCCACGGAGCCATGGGGCCACCGAGCCATGGGGCCACTGAGCCATGGGGCCACCGAGCAATGGGGCCACTGAGCCATGGGGCCACTGAGCCATGGGGCCACTGAGCCATGGGGCCACCGAGCCATGGGGCTATCGAGCAATGGGGCCACTGAGCCATGGGGCCACTGAGCCATGGGGCCACCGAGCAATGGGGCTATCGAGCAATGGGGCCACCGAGCCATGGGGCCACTGAGCCATGGGGCCACCGAGCCATGGGGCCACTGAGCCATGGGGCCACTGAGCCATGGGGCCACTGAGCCATGGGGCCACCGAGCCATGGGGCCACTGAGCCATGGGGCCACGGAGCAATGGGGCCACCGAGCCATGGGGCCACCGAGCCATGGGGCCACCGAGCCATGGGGCCACCGAGCAATGGGGCCACTGAGCCATGGGGCCACTGAGCCATGGGGCCACCGAGCCATGGGGCCACCGAGCAATGGGGCCACCGAGCCATGGGGCCACCGAGCCATGGGGCCACCGAGCCATGGGGCCACGGAGCAATGGGGCCACCAAGCAATGGGGCCACCAAGCAATGGGGCCACTGAGCCATGGGGCCACCGAGCCATGGGGCCACCAAGCAATGGGGCCACCGAGCAATGGGGCCACCGAGCCATGGAGGAACCCATGAAGGACCCAACCCATGGAGGAGCCCATGGAGGAACCCATGGAGGACCCAACCCATGGAGGACCCAATGGAGGACATAGGAACCCATGGAGGACCAATGTAGGCCCATAGGAACCCATGGAGGACCAACCATAGGAACCCATGGAGGACCAACGTAGGCCCATAGGAACCCATGGAGGACCAATGTAGCTCCATAGGAACCCATGGAGGACCAAACCCATAGGAACCCATGGAGGACCCAACCCATGGAGGAACCCATGGAGGAACCCATGGAGGACCCAACCCATGGAGGCACCAACCCATGGAGGACCCAACCCATGGAGGAACCAACCCATGGAGGAACCCATGGAGGACCCAACCCATGGAGGACCCAACCCATGGAGGACCCAATGGAGGACCCAACCCATGGAGACCCACCCAAATAACCCATGGAGGACCCAACCCATGGAGGACCCAATGGAGGACCCAACCCATGGAGGACCCAACCCATGGAGGACCAACCCATAGGACCCAACCCATGGAGGAACCCATGGAGGCCATAGGA